TGATGGGGCACGATTCTTCCCACTGACACCAATGATGGGGCACTATTCCTCCCACTGACACCAATGATGGGGCACTATTCCTCCCACTGACACCAATGATGGGGCACTATTCCTCCCCCTGACACCAATGATGGGGCACGATTCTTTCCACTGACACCAATGATGGGGCACTATTCCTCCCCCTGACACCAATGATGGGGCACGATTCTTCCCACTGACACCAATGATGGGACACTATTCCTCCCACTGACACCAATGATGGGACACTATTCCTCCCACTATCACCAATGTTGGGGCACTATTCCCCCCTCCCCCACACTGACACCAACGATGGGGCACTATTCCCCCCACAATGACACCAACGATGGGGCACTATTCCTCCCCCCCACTGACACCAATGATGGGGCACTATTCCTTCCCCCCACTGACACCAACGATGGGGCACTATTCCTCCCCCCACTGACACCACACGATGGGGCACTATTCCTCCCCCCCACTGACACCAACGATGGGGCACTATTCCAGCCCCCACTGACACCAACGATGGGGCACTATTCCTCCCCCCACTGACACCAATGATGGGGCACTATTATCCTCCCCCCACTGACACCAATGATGGGGCACTATTCCTCCCCCCCACTGACACCAATGATGGGGCACTATTTCCTCCCACTGACACCAACGATGGGGCACTATTATTCCTCCCACTGACACCAACGATGGGGCACTATTCCTCCCCCCCCACTGACACCAACGATGGGGCACTATTCCTCCCCCCACTGACACCAACAATGGGGCACTATTCCTCCCCCCACTGACACCAACGATGGGGCACTATTCCTCCCCCCCACTGACACCAATGATGGGGCACTATTCCTCCCCCCCACTGACACCAACGATGGGGGCTACTATTCCTCCCACTGACCCCCCTTCTGACACCAACGATGGGGCACTATTTCCCCTCCCACTGACACCAATGATGGGGCACTATTCCTCCCCCCCACTGACACCAATGATGGGGCACTATTCCTCCCCCCCACTGACACCAACGATGGAACACTATTCCTCCCCCACTGACACCAACGATGGGGCACTATTCCTCCCCCCCACTGACACCAACGATGGGGCACTATTCCTCCCCCCCCACTGACACCAACGATGGGGCACTATTCCTCCCCCCCACTGACACCAATGATGGGGCACTATTCCTCCCCCACTGACCAATGATGGGGCACTATTCCCCCCCACTGACACCAATGATGGGGCACTATTCCTCCCCCCACTGACACCAAATGGGGCACTATTCCTCCCACTGACACCAATGATGGGACACTATTCCTCCCACTGACACCAATGATGGGGCACTATTCCTCCCACTGACACCAATGATGGGGCACTATTTCCCCCCACTGACACCAACGATGGGGCACTATTCCTCCCCCCCACTGACACCAATGATGGGGCACTATTCCTCCCCACTGACACCAATGATGGGGCACTATTCCTCCCCCCACTGACACCAATGATGGGGCACTATTCCTCCCCCCACTGACACCAATGATGGGGCACTATTCCTCCCACTGACACCAATGATGGGGCACTATTCCTCCCACTGACACCAATGATGGGGCACTATTCCTCCCACTGACACCAATGATGGGGCACTATTCCTCCCACTGACACCAATGATGGGGGCACTATTCCTCCCCCCACTGACACCAATGATGGGGCACTATTCCCCCTCCCCCACAATGACACCAATGATGGGGCACTATTCCTCCCCCCACTGACACCAATGATGGGGCACTATTCCTCCCCCCACCAATGACACCAACCAATGATGGGGCACTATTCCTCCCACTGACACCAATGATGGGGCACTATTCTTCCCACTGACACCAATGATGGGGCACTATTCCTCCCCTGACACCAATGATGGGGCACTATTCCTCCCCACTGACACCAATGATGGGGCACTATTCCTCCCCACTGACACCAATGATGGGGCACTATTCTTCCCACTGACACCAATGATGGGGCACTATTCCTCCCACTGACACCAATGATGGGGCACTATTCCTCCCACTGACACCAATGATGGGGCACTATTCCTCCCCCCACTGACACCAATGATGGGGCACTATTCCTCCCCACTGACACCAACGATGGGGCACTATTCCTCCCCCCACTGACACCAATGATGGGGCACTATTCCTCCCCCCACTGACACCAACGATGGGGCACTATTCCTCCCTCCCACTGACACCAATGATGGGGCACTATTCCTCCCCTCCCACTGACACCAATGATGGGGCACTATTCTCCCCCCCACTGACACCAATGATGGGGCACTATTCCTCCCCCACTGACACCAATGATGGGGACACTATTCCTCCCACTGACACCAATGATGGGGCACTATTCCTTCCCACTGACACCAATGATGGGCACTATTCCTCCCACTGACCATGCACTATTCCTCCACTGACACCAATGGGGACACTATTCCTCCCCACTGACACCAATGATGGGACACTATTCCTCCCACTGACACCAATGATGGGGCACTATTTCCCCCCACTGACACCAACGATGGGGCACTATTCCTCCCCCCCACTGACACCAACGATGGGGCACTATTCCTCCCCCACTGACACCAATGATGGGGCACTATTCCTCCCCCCACTGACACCATGATGGGGCACTATTCCTCCCCCCACTGACACCAACGATGGGACACTATTCCTCCCACTGACACCAATGATGGGGCACTATTTCCTCCACAAATGACACCAATGATGGGGCACTATTCCTCCCACTGACACCAATGATAGGACACTATTCCTCCCCCACTGACACCAATGATGGGGCACTATTCCCCCCCACTGACACCAATGATGGGGCACTATTCCTCCCCCCACAATGCCACCAACGATGGGGCACTATTCCTCCCCCACTGACACCAATGATGGGGCACTATTCCTCCCCCCCACTGACACCAATGATGGGGCACTATTCCTCCCCCCACTGACACCAACGATGGGGCACTATTCTTCCCCCTGACACCAATGATGGGGCACTATTTCTCCCACTGAAACACCAATGATGGGGCACTATTCCTCCCACTGACACCAATGATGGGGCACTATTCCTCCCACTGACACCAATGATGGGGCACTATTCCTCCCACTGACACCAATGATGGGGCACCCCCTCCCCCCACTGACACCAATGATGGGGCACTATTCCTCCCCCCACTGACACCAATGATGGGGCACTATTCCTCCCCCACTGACACCAACGATGGGGCACTATTCCTCCCCTGACACCAATGATGGGGCACGATTCCTCCCACTGAAACCAATGATGGGGCACTATTCCTCCCCCCACTGACACCAACGATGGGGCACTATTCCTCCCACTGACACCAATGATGGGGCACTATTCCTCCCCCCCTGACACCAATGATGGGGCACGATTCTTTCCCCACTGACACCAATGATGGGGCACTATTCCTCCCCCTGACACCAATGATGGGGCACGATTCTTCCCACTGACACCAATGATGGGACACTATTCCTCCCACTGACACCAATGATGGGACACTATTCCTCCCACTATCACCAATGTTGGGGCACTATTCCCCCTTCCCCCACACTGACACCAACGATGGGGCACTATTCCCCCCCACAATGACACCAACGATGGGGCACTATTCCTCCCCCACTGACACCAATGATGGGGCACTATTCCTTCCCCCACTGACACCAACGATGGGGCACTATTCCTCCCCCTGACACCAATGATGGGGCACGATTCTCCCACGATTCTTCCCACTGACACCAATGATGGGGCACTATTCCTCCCACTGACACCAATGATGGGGACACTATTCCTCCCCCTGACACCAATGATGGGGCACGATTCTTCCACTGACACCAATGATGGGGCACTATTCCTCCCACTGACACCAATGATGGGGCACTATTCCTCCCACTGACACCAATGATGGGACACTTTTCCTCCCACTGACACCAATGATGGGACACTATTCCTCCCCCTGACACCAATGATGGGGCACGATTCTTCCCACTGACACCAATGATGGGGCACTATTCCTCCCACTGACACCAATGATGGGGCACTATTCCTCCCACACACTATGTCCACAGTCTCTGGTCATCTCCTGTACTATGTCCGCAGTCTCTGGTCATCCCCTGTACTATGTCCGCAGTCTCTGGTCATCTCCTGTAGTATGTCCGCAGTCTCTGGTCATCTCCTGTACTATGTCCGCAGTCTCTGGTCATCTCCTGTACTATGTCCGCAGTCTCTGATCATCTCCTGTACTGTGTCCGCAGTCTCTGGTCATCCCCTGTACTATGTCCGCAGTCTCTGGTCATCTCCTGTACTGTCCGCAGTCTCTGGTCATCTCCTGTACTGTGTCCGCAGTCTCTGGTCATCTCCTGTACTGTGTCCGCAGTCTCTGGTCATCCCCTGTACTATGTCCGCAGTCTCTGGTCATCTCCTGTACTATGTCCGCAGTCTCTGGTCATTCCCTGTACTGTGTCCACAGTCTCTGGTCATTTCCTGTACTATGTCCGCAGTCTCTGGTCATCTCCTGTACGTGTCCGCAGTCTCTTGTCATCTGTACTATGTCCGCAGTCTCTGGTCGTCTCCTGTACTGTGTCCACAGTCTCTGGTCATCTCCTGTACTATGTCCACAGTCTCTGGTCATCTCCTGTACTATGTCCGCAGTCTCTGGTCATCCCCTGTACTATGTCCGCAGTCTCTGAATATCTCCTGTACTGTGTCCGCAGTCTCTGGTCATCCCCTGTACTATGTCCGCAGTCTCTGGTCATCTCCTGTACTATGTCCGCAGTCTCTGGTCATTCCCTGTACTGTGTCCACAGTCTCTGGTCATTTCCTGTACTATGTCCGCAGTCTCTGGTCATCTCCTGTACGTGTCCGCAGTCTCTGGTCATCTGTACTATGTCCGCAGTCTCTGGTCGTCTCCTGTACTGTGTCCACAGTCTCTGGTCATCTCCTGTACTATGTCCACAGTCTCTGGTCATCTCCTGTACTATGTCCGCAGTCTCTGGTCATCCCCTGTACTATGTCCGCAGTCTCTGAATATCTCCTGTACTGTGTCCGCAGTCTCTGGTCATCCCCTGTACTATGTCCGCAGTCTCTGGTCATCTCCTGTACTGTCCGCAGTCTCTGGTCATCCCCTGTACTGTGTCCGCAGTCTCTGGTCATCTCATGTACTGTGTCCGCAGTCTCTGGTCATCTCCTGTACTGTGTCCGCAGTCTCTGGTCATCTCCTGTACTATGTCCGCAGTCTCTGGTCATCCCCTGTACTGTGTCCGCAGTCTCTGGTCATCTCATGTACTGTGTCCGCAGTCTCTGGTCATCTCCTGTACTGTGTCCGCAGTCTCTGGTCATCTCCTGTACTGTGTCCGCAGTCTCTGTCATCTCCTGTACTGTGTCTCTCTGGTGTACTGTGTCGCAGTCTCTGGTCTGTCTGCAGTCTCTGGTCATCCCTGTACTGTGTCTGCAGTCTCTGGTCATCTCCCCTGTACTGTGTCTGCAGCAGTTTCTGGTCTCTGGTCATGGTCATCTCCTGTACTGTGTCTGCAGTCTCTGGTCATCTCCTGTACTGTGTGTCCTGGCATCTCCCTGTACTGTGTCCGCAGTCTCTGGTCATCTCCTGTACTCCGCAGTCTCTGGTCCTGCAGTCTCTGGTCATCTCCTGTACTGTGCAGTCTCTGTGTACTGTGTCCGCAGTCTCTTGTCATCTCCTGTAGTGTGTCTGCAGTACTCTCTCTTGTCATCACCTGTAGTACTGTGTCACCTGTACTGTGTCCGCATTTGTTCATAGTTTTTTTTTTGTTTTTAAACTATAGTCCGGCCCTCCAACGGTCTGAGGGACAGTGAACTGGCCCCCTGTTTAAAAAGTTTGAGGACCCCTGGACTAGAGAGAGTCATCACTGGAGGTACGTGAAGGGATTCCAGAGACAGGTGGATACACTGACACACTGAGAATAAGTTAGTGCCAGTGCCACTGATCCCATCATCCCCTCTGCTTCTGACTGATCCCACCACCGCCTCTGACTTATCCCATGCCCCCCCAGGGCCCCCATCACCACCACTGACTGATTCCATCCCCCCCAGGGCCCCCGCCAGCACCTCTGACTGATACCACCACTCCAGGGCTCCCATCACCACCTCTGACTAATCTCACTCCCCCCCAGGGCCCCACCGCCACCTCTGATCCCATCTCCTCCAGGGCCCCCACCACCACCTCTGACTGATCCCATGCCCCCCCAGGGCCCCCATCACCACCTCTGACTGATTCCATCCCCCCCAGGGCCCCGCCAGCACCTCTGACTTATCCCACCATCCCAGGGCTCCCATCACCACCTCTGACTGATCCCACGCCCCCAGGGCCCACACCATGGCCTCTGACTGATCCCATCCCCCCAGGGCCCCCATCACTGTCTCTGACTTATACCATGCCCCCCCCAGGGCCCCTATCACTGCCACTGAGTGATTCCCTGCCCAAGGTCCCCACCACCGCCTCTAACTAATCTCATCTCATTCAGGGCCCCCTAGCACTGCCTCTGACTGATCCCATTTCCTCCTGTGCCCCCACCACTGCCTCTGACTGATCCCATGCCCTCCCCTCCAGGGCCCCCACTACCTCATCTGACTGATCCCATCCCTCCCAGGGCCCCAACCACCTCCTTGACTGATCCCATCCCCCCCAGGGCCCCCACCACTGCATCTAATTCCCCCCCCCCCAGTGCCCCCACCACTGCCTCTGACTGATCCCATCCCCCCACCACCACCATTGTATCTGACTAATCCCATTCCCCACCGCCACCGCTGTTGCCTCTGACTGATCGCACTCCCACTACCACTGCTGCCTCTGACTAATCCCATCCGCCCCACCATCACTACTGCCTCTAACTGATCCCATCCCCCCTACTAGTATCACCACTGCCACTGATCTCATCCTATTGCCGCTCCCCAATCACCTCTGTCACTGATCCTATCTCCCACCACCATCACTGCTGTCACTGATCCCAACTTCTCCCACTACCATCAGTGGACTGATCCCATTCCCCACCACCACCAATGATCCCACACCCCCCACCACCGATGACACTGATCCTATCCCCCAGCACCACTGCTGCCACTGGTCCCACCACTGCTGCCACTGGTCCCATTCCCCCAACACCCTCAGTGGACTGATCCCTTCCCTCCCACTGCCACTGATCCTGCCTCCTCCACCCTCTCTCACCACTACCACCACTGCCACTGATCCCATCCTCCCACCACCAGCACTGCCATTGATCTCATCTTCCCTCCTCCTCCAGCACTGCCACTGATCCCATTCCCCCCATTACGCCTTTGGCTAGGCCCACATTTACTAGAAACAAAGGTCCCAGGCAGGGTTTTTACTACTAGAATTAAGACACTACAGAGTATACAACTGGGTAAAATTAGCCAGTAGTAGGACAGTTTTATTCAAGGATAATAGACTGAAATGTATTTTAGACCAAGAGCAGGGACAAGGGTTTTTCTAAAAGAATTAAGAGAACAATGATACAGCAGTGAAACTTTGGCCAGTAGCAGAACAGTAATAATCAGGGATAATAGGCCTAATCAGTGGGTGTCCAACTTTTATTTGCAATAGGGGAATGCAGTGAATGTGACTGATATAATGTGAGGTGATTTATGTGCACACTATTCTTGCACTTATTTTTATTTTTTCTTTCAAATTATGCAGTTGTGACGATATTTCTAAGAATAGTTTTCTGTTTGATAGCGGGTTGGAGAACTGGGAACAGACAAGTTGGTTGCAGTTATTTAACATTTTTTCAATAAGGGGGCTTTTTAAAAAGTCATACTACAGTCACTAAGGGGTTTAGGGAAGCATTGCTGCATAAAAAAAGGTTTACCCTAATAAAAAAGGCCTATCAACATTTAGATCAAAGCATATTCATGTGTTAGAATGGCTCAGTCAAAGTCCAGGCATAAATCCAATTGAGAATCTGTGGCAAGACTTGAAAATTGCTGTTCACAGATGCTCTTCATCCAATCTGACAGAGCTTGAGCTATTTTGCAAAGTAGAATGGGCAAAAATGTCCCTCTCTAGATGTACAAAGCTATTAGAGACATCCCTAAAAAGACTTGCAGCTTTATTTGCAATGAAAGGTGGTTCTACAAAGTATTGACTCCAGGGGGCTGAATACAAATGCACGCCACACTTTTCAGATATTTATTTGTAAAAATGAAAACCATTTATCATTTTCTTTCCACTTCACAATTATGTGCCACTTTGTGTTGGTCTATCACATGTAAATCCCAATAAAATACATTTAAATTTTTGGTTGTAACATGACAAAGTGTGGAAAAATTTCAAGGGGTATGAATACTTTTTCAAAGCATTGTATAGCTCTTTACGGCTACCTTTGCACCATGGGTTGGCAGGGGGCACTGTGGGGCAGTAAAAACGTACCTCAACTGCCTGTTTTTACCACCTCCCAACTGCAAGTGTAAACAAGGCCTCACTGTGCATAGATACAGTATCTCAAAGAATTGAGTACACCCCTCACATTTTTGTAAATATGTTATTCTATCTTTTCATGTGACAACACTAAAGAAATTACACTTTGCTACAATGTAAAGTAGTGAGTGTACAGCTTGTATAACAGTGTAAGTTTGCTGTCCCCTCAAAATAACTCAACACACAGCCATTAATGTCAAAACTGCAGGGAACAAAAGTGAGTACACCCCTAAGTGAAAATGTCCAAATTGGGCCCAAAGTGTCAATATTTTGTGTGGCCACCATTATTATATAACTGCCTCCTGGACATGGAGTTCACCAGAGCTTTGCATTGGATCCATTTTTTTGTGCTTGTGGCTGACAGAAGGTGCTGAATGGTACCCCTAAACATCGTTAACTATAAAATCAAGGATTTTAGGCACAACCGTAATCCATTTAGTGATTATTTACACACAGCGCTGTCTTCACCTCTCAGACAAAATATATTTCCTGGACCTCCTCATGTCAGCCTACCACTCGTCAGCTTCACCACCTCTGACCCTTCTAGGACAACCTCTTCACTAGCCTATAAAGTGTGGCAGTATCCCTTAGTCACTGTTCTTTTTTTGTCTTCGCTCTGGGCACCTCTAAAAAAATGTTTTAAAAATAATATTTTTTACCTTTTAAACCTTTTTTTTCTCCTACCAAGGTTCAGCCTCCTCTGGGTTAGAAGACCCATCAGATGAGCTGTAAATCTTCCATGTTGTGGGTTCCCTTGGTGCAGGGTTCTGTGGAAAGCAGTATAAATTACTGCCTCTGAAGCGGCGGAAGGAATTTCTTATGGCCCCTATTGCTAGGCAACATAAACTGTTGCTCACAGGGCTTCCCAAGGTGACCGCTAGATGTTATACTGGTCCTAGTGCAAAGGTTGGCTGAGACCTGTAGTTTCACAGGAATTTCCCCGATTTCCATGTGCTGTCTGCATTCTACCACCTACCAAAAACCCATAAATATTTGCATCCTCTACAAGGGAGGCCAATTATTTCTGGCATTGGGTCTTTAAATGAGAGATTGGTTGGCTACATAGCTCCAGCCTCTTGTTGTACAACGTCCAAGTTATTTGAGAGACACCAATCACCTTCTTCATTTATGGCTGACATGTTAGTTTATATTCCTCTATATCTCATCATCTTGCCATAAAAGCAATATCTTTTATTTAGAATCCAGCACTGGGTTTAGCATCGCACACCGTTTATTTATTTTAGATGTAGTAAAATATCTGCTTACCCAAAATTTCTTTATCTTTAATGGCATTTTTTCTTCAAAAGTGTGGAGCCGCGATGGGAGCCAAATTCTTGCCATCATTATCCAACCTTTATATGGGTTGGTGGGGAGCAGTTACACATCTATGGCACTGGTAATCCCTTTAGGTGCAATATTAGAATGTTTTTTCATTATATTGATGACCTTATATTCGTTGTATATAAAGGTCTGGGAGACTTGTCAGTTGTTTTATCTTAGGCATTAATGGCTGTGTGTTGAGTTATTTTGAGGGGACAGCAAATTTACATTGTTATACAAGCTGTACACTCACTACTTTACATTGTAGCAAAGTGTCATTTCTTCAGTGTTGTCACATGAAAAGATAGAATAAAATATTTACAAAAACGTGAGGGGTGTACTTACTTCTGTCTGATACTGTATATATATATATATATATATTGTCTGACAGGCGGAGACAGCGCTGTGTATAAATATTCAGTATACGTGGATAACCTGGTATAGGTTATTGATGAACAGCTGCAGTCTTAAACACACAGAGATGATTGTTATATGAATACTGTATATACTAACACTTCTAGTAATCTTGATTTAGGTTGTAACAGTACACACGTAATAAAGTGCAGTGTGCACGTAGACATATATTTTCTTTGATCCATTTAGTGCTTAATCAACCCACATTAGCATAAAACTTTGCTTTTTTTTTTTTTTCCCCTTCCAAATGTCCAAAAGTCAGGAATTTCCCACCAAAATAAAGACAATTGGGAGATATGGGCTGAATTCCCCAGTCCCAACTTCTGTTTGTTTGGTAACCAACACAAGCTTTTTTTCTGTAGAATTCCAGACTGTCTCTGAAGGAAATTGGAAACATGAGAATCTCAGAATTTGGAAGTTGAAAGAAGAACTGTCCATGAAGTTCATAATAACAGACCCCTTCTCAGTTATATGTATCATGAAAATCATAAAATGATGTTGAACATCCAATTGATTATTATGCACAGTGGTTTCAGTCTTGAAGTGGTATTCGGTGTGTTTCGGGTCTATTCAAGGACATCCTGTAATTTGTATGC